TCTGCTGCTGCCTGCCTGTGTGGCCTCAGATGCATCACTTACAATGAAATATAGACGTGAATTGGGAGCCTGACAGCTACTCTCCACCAGCTGTCCAGATCTCTCAAGTTTTCAGTGGGCATTGATGTCTTAGTCACATGGGCCATCTCAATTGCAGGAGCCCAAGCATCAAGACCCTCACATTCCACCAGCTTTTGAAGCGCTGCAATGGACCCGCTACAGCTCCTGTTAACATCTTCCTCTTTGCGTGCTTCATCTCTGCTTTAGGCATGACCAAAAAAGACAAGACATTGGAGGGGGTGAAGGTGTTTGTCCCACTATGCTTTGCTGACTACTTGAGCACAAGCGGTAGTGCTGGGGAGCCCTTTAGCCAAGGAGCAGCTGGCTCACTTCCCTTAGGCTGCGTGGGGGGATCGTGCTTGTCCTCACCTGCGAGATGTTTGTTTGCAGCATGACAACATTCACCAGCTGGGGCATAAATCATTCAACAAAACCCTCCACCACCCCAGGGGCTTCTCATAACATCCGCTTGCAGCTGCCTTTATCTCCAAGTCCAGATCATTTCAGGCATTGCCATCTTCTCTGCCCCCAGCCACCTGCCAAGAAGCAGCAGGTCCTGCTGTTGCAGAGCCATGCCCAGTCTTCCTGCAAGCCCATGTCAGGGAGAGGCTGGCTCCAGGAAGTACAAGAAATTATTTTTGCCTATACATTTATCCTCCTCATTTTTTCTCCAGTTTGTTGCTGGAGTCTGGTCTCTTTCTGCACTCTGAGAAAGGCAGCGCAGTGATGAGGAGAGCCACTTTTACTGGGCTTGGAGTATTGCTGCTCCACCAAAGGGTTTTGCTGTGGGACTTTGAGTAGGTGAAAGGATAATTTCTCAGCGGTAGGAGAGAGATCAGCTACTGCTGAAGAAGCCTAAAGCCTACCCAGGCAGAGACAGCAATCCCCTAAATCCACATTCAAGAGTTTGGGAAAGACCCTGATCTCAGGCTTCTGCTCTTCTGTTTGTGGTTGCGTAGTTATTGCACACATGCCTTACCTCTCTTTTGCTCTGACCACTTTATTTTCCTAGCTTCATAAAGCTCACAAAGTCACCTTCATATTCCCCTACACTGACTGGCATTGCCCCAGCAAGCTAGTCAAACACAGCAGAAACAAACTCAGCTTTCCAAAGGGTAAAATTTGAGGCAGCACAAGCAGGATCTCACACCTCCTTTGGGAGGGAGATGCATGGCAACAAAAGACTGGAATTTCGAATGCTCACATTTTACCACAACTGCCACGTGCCATTTAGCCTGTCTGGTTAGTACATCTCCCCAATGTGGTCTGACAGCAAATTCCCAACAGAAGCACAAAAGCACTGTGGAGCCCCACCAAAGAGTGAAATGAACTCCTGTTCTTGACAGAGAAGTGCACTGAAAACAAATAACCAACATATCCAGGGTACAAGCAAATAAACAGCAATAACAACATAACTTTATTTAGATTTAATTTGACATTTAGCACAGTAATAAGCACAGAAAGAAAGAAGTACCAAAAAACCAAACTCCTAGCATATAAAATAACCAAATAGATTTCATATTTAGTGAAATATTTCTACAACACATCGGTGGGACTGCCCTGGGCAGCTCAACCTTGTAAATATATACGTGTGTGTGTATATATATATATATATCTATATCTGTGTTATATAAAATACTGTATGTAAAGAAAGCACTGAAACTTATCACCAAAATAGAAAATAGCTCAAAATATGGATAGGTCAGATTTGGTAGTCATACCCAATATTGAAAAGAGGTTCAAACCCACTGCAGGTGATAAAGCTCCAGCTTAGATGCCATGGAGGGCATGAGATGGCATTACTGGGCACAGACTGGCTAAAGCTGGCAGCAGCCTGGCTCACAGGACAGGCTCTGGACCTGAGCCGGTGGCCATGAGGTGACAAGAGTTACTGGTCCTCACTCAGGGCTGTCAAGATATTTTCTAAGTGGAAATGCCAGTGACAATGTCGGTGCTTGCGGCTGACGCTGCGCACCACGGGATGTGGGGGCGAGCGATGCATTCATGTCTGCGGGGAGGCTCGAGCGCCTGAGCAGCCGCTTGGATCCCGCAGGAGACCCCGCAGCCCAGCCTGTGCCTGCCTGGGGCCAAAGAGCTTTGGCTAAGGAAGAGCTGCCGGAGCAGCGCTCCCACTCCTGCAGCGCACAGCTGGCCCTTGCGGCTCCGGCTGCAGCGGGACTGGCCGTTGGCAGATGCACCACATCACAAGGATGTTATTCTGAATTTTAAAGATGTCTCTTCATCAGATGGCAGGAATTAATTCCCATGAGCTTTTAAAAAATGTAGAACGCTGCTTTTGTACGAGGCCAGGCTCCCCCAAGCAATACTGTACGTTTGTTCTGGTCTGCAAGAGAGCAGCACTTAAAGCAGCAACCCTGCTGCTACAGGACAGTAACACCGAATGAAGTGTTTGTCCTGGAGAAAACTCCCACCTGCCCTGAGGGTGATCAAGGTTAGTCTTGTACCTAAGATCCCAGGCAGTTTGTAAATAGCTATAAAAAAATACGGCGTTTCTGGCAGCAACACTAAAGTCCAACTGGAGTCGATAACCTGCACCAGCACATAGCCTGGGTGCTGCTGGTGCTTCAGGCTGGGTACTGGGTGGGCAGGCAGAGGCCCCACTCCTGGCAGCAGGGGAGAGCCGAGGGGGCATTGGGGCTGTTTGGTTCCTGATATATCAATGAGGCTCTGTATCTGCTGCTTTCCAGACAACGTGCTTTTGTGCTTGTTTTTTTCCTTTTTGGCTCAATACGATGATTCATTTTTTTGACTACTCCTGGTAGGAAGGTAGCAGATACCTGCCCAGAGAATCCCTCCTTGAGGGGTTTCGAGCCCCAGCAAGGCAGCACCACGATGGGCTGCCCCTGTGCCATGCCAACCCCACGGCAAGCTGGAGGCTGCAGGAGATCCCCCTGGGAGCCCTCCCAAACTCTGTTTCTGTGCTTCTGCCACCCCACTGCAGAGAAGCCTATAACCCATTAATAATTCTCTAATTGGTCTTTCTCATCAAGCCAATGGTTGCATCCCTAATTACATGGCAACAATACTATGCTAACAGGATGAGCCGTAATTCCTAGGTGGTATTAGCATTGTTATTTACTCTGAGTAAATCCCCAGTAATGGCTATTTCAATGTGGCAATATCAATTACGTGAATATAAATGCTTAGCCCCTGGAAAAATCATTAATAAAAATTTCATTCTGACAGCCTCTAATCACAGCTAAATACAATTACTCATATGAGGCCACTATAAAAATTATTTTTCTCATCAGCAGAAATCCATAAGGTTTTCCCAACTGTTTGTAATAAAGAGAACACTGTATAGAAAAGTCCAGAAAATAAGCACACATTTGTTTCTCAAAACCCATAGATAAACATGACAATATCTCTAAATTACTGGCTACTGAACAGGATTTCATTTAGAGCTACTCAAGCTGTAGCCTAGTATAAATGTTTTCAAAGCAGCATGCTGCTGTTTCATCTGGAACAGCTGCACAGGATTTCTTTGATGTCAAGCTCTTGTGTGGGGACGGTGTTTCAATTTCTCTTTATGCCTCCAAACTGCTGAAACAGGAAGGAAAAGACATTCAATAAAATAGGCGTTTTTCATGGAAAAGAAAAAAAAGGTAGCAAAATTTGGCCTTGAATACAGTACCGAGAAATAACTCATCACCGCAGTGATGACAACCACACTCTGCCTATTGCATCCCTGTTTCAAAGGAGACAGGGAAAACAACAGGTTTTGTGCTGCAGCACGCTCCCCCCGCAGTGCTCTGCCAGGAGCCCCGGGCTCACGCTCTGGCAGCACCCGTGGCCGGCGGCAGTCCTGGGCACACGGTGGGTGCACTTGTGCTCTCCTCCTGACTCCCTGCACTAGCGTGTACAACCCTGGTGTACTCCCCAAGGAGCACAAATACAATTAGCTGAGGAAGGTCTGCTCTTTCCCCACTCTCACCCAGGCTCCTCAAGCTCCATGGTGCCCAGCACAGCAGGCTCGAGCTGCTCGGGCAATTCAGGATGGCCAAGGTGTCTGTGACTGGTCATGACAGGCAGCTAAAGTAGGTCCTGCCCTACATCATTTGCCAAAGACACTTTCTTACGCAGTAAGCAACCATTTTTTAGATGGCTGTGTCCACAGCACTCATCGCTGAGCCACCACAAGCGCTGCCTGCGAAGCCAGAGAGGTACATAAGTGCAAATCCCCCTCTCAGGCACCCAGCACCTGCCCATTCTATAAGCCAGAGGCAGGAGCCAGTGACACATACGTCTCTTTTTTGCAGCATTCAGCAAGGAGGAACCCCACACAGCGCCTGGAAGGAGAACGATTGCCCTGCCTGCTCCCTGCTTGACTGCAGAGCCAGTTGTCACAAACTACATGCATTTAGGAGGTAGCAGAGTGGACAGCACAGGTTTCTCTTTCTATAGGGAGATAAGGCTGAAAAAGTCCGGGACATCAGGAGAAGCTGGCAGGAGGGCAGCCAGGGCAACGTGGGGAGAAGAAGCAACACCATTATCTCCAGGTAGGATCTCTCTCTCCTGCACTTTGCAGAACACTCATGTGGGCTTATTTGCCTTGCTTCGTAAATATTTTCCAGAAAAAGATTTATTTGGGAACATTCTCAAAGCAGCGCTCAAGGAGTCTTCCTAGTGACCTCCAAAAAGTACACTTCCTGAGGTGTTTCCCTGTGCCTATTTTTCCAGACACCCCCTTTGCTGTACAATGCTTACTGGGAAAAAAGCAGCAAAAACTGAAAAATACTACTGAAAAAGCCAGGGACTCTGTTTCAAAACTCAATGAGCTGATGAAAACAATTTCTGCCAGTGCCAGTGAGCTCTCGCTCTCTTGCAGCGAGGCTCTGGAGTCTCCAGCATGGCTGTGCCAGTGGCACTGCCATCAGGCTCAGCAGTGCACACACAGCTCACCTCCCCAGCCAACTTACTGCTCTCCTGCCACGGTGCTGCCACTGCCCACAAACGGGATTTCTTCCCTGTCCGTCTTCCCCAGAACAAGATGGTGCTTCTCCATGTTTATGACACACTGTAGAGAATAAATGCCTTTAGGTAAGAAGGAAAACTGCAATTCAACGTGGTCCCAGCTCCCCCAGCATGAGTAAAAGCCCTGCTGGAAACCCCCTACCTTCAGAGATTTCAGTGTCTGCAACCCAAAGGAGAAGGGTTTCTCGTTGTCTTCTGAAAAATAGGAACATTCAGATTTATACATTCAAAATGTTCTCCCATGCTTTTTGTCAGTGACTCCATCCTTCCTTCATGGCTGCTCTGCTAAAATAAACCCCTGTTCCTAACGGAACTGAGTTACTCTGGAGGGCAACATGATCAAACGAGGGCAGGCAGATGCGCCTGCAGGGAGACACAGTGGTTGCTCCATTGGCACAGCAGAGCAGAAGCCTGGTGCCGCCAGCACAGCCCTGCTGAATGCATCCTCCCTCCCTCCATCTGAGGGGCCAAACAGGGACTGCAGAAAAGCAGTATTTCTATTTTCATTTGAATGCATTTCTGAAGCTTCATTTTCCCCCCTGGGGTAAGAGGGACTAGACCCCCAGCCCATACCCGGAGGAACAGAGGAGCACACGCACTCACCCACAACGAGGGCAGTGCACTCCACGGGGACTGCTCCCACCGTGAGGACGAGGCACTCGATCTGGCCGATCGCTCTCCCCTTGTACGACAATGAATCCATCTCATCTTCACCAGGGAGTGCTTTGAGATGCTCCTTTAACCTGCACATTAAAAACACTCCTGACATGAAACAGCCACAATTTGGCTGCTCCAGCAAGGAGCAAATGGCGTTTGGAGGGCACTTACACCTGAAGTGCTCTTAGCTTGCTCGTAATACCGTGCCATTATTGAAAAGCTGCTTTCTTGGCAAGTTTTCTGTGATGCTCTGCATACAGCCAGCAGTCTGCACCCACATCAGTCCATAGCATGACCCACGATGCAGCCCTGGGGCCACATCAGCCCTCGCCCCAAGCAGAGCTCCCTACTGGATTTTGCTTTTTACCTGAGGTTTGTTTTGTTTGTGGGTTTTTTTTTTCCTACATTTCCTCAAGACCTGGGGAAGCTGCTGATCTAAAATTGCTTCTAATGCAGTGTAGGTGTAAGGAAGGACTACTCCACTCCAGCTCTCACCAGTGGAGCCACCAACAGTGCCCCCATGCCTCACAGCCAGGGCAGCGTGCCCGATCTACGCTTGCTTGCAGGTGCTGCTGCTGGGTTTATTTAGATGAAATGAGGATGGATCGATCACATTCAGCCCGAGAAAAGGAAAAAAGGGTGTCAGGGATGCCTCAGGTACAGTTGTTTTTTCTATCTACACCCCATGAACTATAGTCTGACAACACTGATTAATTATTTAGCTTCAGTTTCTCTTTTAAACTGAACAAGAATCTAATGGAAAGGCAGTTTGAGGTGATCTCTCCCTCGGATAAAAGCTGTATCGCTTTTCAGCTATTTGAGGGACCTTTCTGCTGAGCTGCTTTGCAGCAGTGCGTGTGTGTGCGTCTGCCTGCCTGTGTATCCGTCGTGCAGGGGACCAGCCCCCCTCAGAGGCAGAGGCCCCAGCACTGAGGTGGGGATTGCCCATGCCATTTAGCATAGGTACAAGGACCAGGAGGGGTGGCAGAGAGAAGGAGGTGGATCCCCTCCACCACTTCCCTTAGGGACTGGCCTTAAAAAGCAGTGGGAACATATCAAGAAGGAGTTTATGAGCTCCTTGACCCTGAGCTGGCTTAGTCCAGCCTGAAACAGGTTGGGGTGGCTTTTTTGGGTGCAGTCAACTCCAATGGCTTCTCTATCCACTCAAGGGAAGACATGGTCTTTGGCTGTGGTCTTTGTTTCCCCCCATTTGATCCCACCGCAGGGCACAGGCCGTGATGCTGGAGCCAGGACCTGAACAGAGCCGTCATACAGCTGGAGATGCTCCTCAGTCTGGCACCCACTGACCTGGACAGTTTTCCCAGGTGTGACCAGGCCTGCAGAGAGGCAGGGTGGGAG